TTAGTTTACACGTCCGTAATGCACACCCACCTTCAGAGTCAAGAACCAATCAAATTTAGTGAAGACAAGCGACCTGAGAGCACGATTCGCAACGCTGCGATCGCTATCGCGTCCCGTGTGTCGGGGTTTCACCCTGGCTGCGATGACAGCCGTTAATCGCTGTAGTTTGTCGCTGCCCATGTGTCGAGCCCTTTAATCTTTAATTTAAAAGATGCTAAATAACAATCTAAGCCTTTACTTAAAGAATGCTAAAGAACAATCTAAATCTAAGTCTTTATTAAAAAATGCTAAAGAACAATCTAAATCAAAGTCTTTAAACCAATCAGTTCCAGCTTACGTGTTTTGGCACTGGGTGCACTGGTACTGGTATTTGTACTTGATGTCGTAACTGTGGCAGCGGGTCACCACGGGCAGCTCGGGATGCACMAACGTGGCTTTGCGAGCGTGCAGCTTCCAAAAGTTCCCATGCCCGTCCCGCACGCCGTTTATCAGCCACGTTGCGGCGTGACACATCTCGTGGATCAGCGTGTCCCTGAGACGATCTGGGGACGAAGGGAAACACGAGGTCAATCCCGTGTCGTCATTCTGAAACAATTACTACAAACTTGTCTTTTTTTTTTAATAAGCGTTACCTGCGGAGTCGCAGACTTTCACTGACAGCTCGATGCGGGCGTACCGCTTTCCTCCACCCYTCTCCTGCCCCGTAATGCAGTAGCCTGCAGTTTTACGCATCTTCTTATTCCAAGCCACGGACATATCAGTTGGCAGCTAAAATAGTAATAAATTAATAATAAGAAGAAAAATAATGAGACATACTGTAGTTGTATCATTTTGGCACAAATGATGGATTCTTTGAAAAAAAAAAGACTCTAAACACCCAATACTGAAATCACCTAATAATAATAATAATAACATTGTGATTTTCAGCATTTTTCACCATGCAGTCAACAGGGAAAAAAAACTTGTATAAAATGTAACGAAACAAACAAACTTAGCACAAAAACTAAGGGAATRTGTGTTGGTAGATTTCTTTGTTGCAACAATGCTTCTTGGCTAGGGTTGCACAAATATAAAAATTTCATCCAATRTCRATATTTATATTGCTGTTATGGCCAATWACCRACATTTACCGCTATTACAAAAACACAAATTATTCCTGGCTGAGCAGCATCACTATCATGATCAAACAGATACTGCTTGACCAACCATTTCTCCTCCCRAAACAAGAACAGCAACACGCAGGAAATATACTGTATATCGGATGTTAATATCGGCCCAGTTTTAATTATTTGACYGATACCAATMTGCTAAAAAATGACCAACATCAGCCGATCTATCGTGTATTAATTGTCTTGGCAATAAATCTAATACTGTTGGATTTCCCTTTTTAAATGGTGCCACATTTGTAAGGAACATGTGTGGGATGAGCAGTAGAGCTGAGTGTGTGGGCTGCACACTTTAAAATTTACCAAATCTTCTCTGCCAAACAGATAATTTTGCTGTTGCTACTGACACTTGTTTTGAGCTTCTGGTACCCCCAGGTACTGCCAATCAGGTGCCCAGTGTTAGAATGTTGCATTGTTACAACAAATCTACCAAACACAAATTTCATTACTTTTGGTGCTAAATACAGAAAGAACGGACATTTGACACCTTGTTGTCAAATACGCTGGTGTTGTACATCTGGTAGAGCTTGCTTGTGAGTTCTTCCTTGTTCGTCTTGAAACTGGCCCCGTAGGTGGACCTGGTGTCTGTGAGCGACTCCAGGAAGCAGCCGGGAGTCTTGCACGTCACTATCCTAAAAGGCGAATTAATCAAGATGTACGTCAGTGTGTGTGGGAAAAAAAGCAAACACTTGGCAGAAAGTCGTGCAGAGAAAATGAAAGAAAACCTGCAACATTTCAGGCGTGTCTGCAGCTCACCTGCTCATGGCAGCATGTCTGGGCTCCGTCTGACAGACTTTAGGCTTCATGATGGACGAGCTTCCTTTAGTCCTCACGCGTTGAGGCGTTTCTTTAATGGGCTCGGAGTTCGATGGCGTAAGTGACTTCACGGCAGGAGCTGAAACAAGGTCCTGGTCCGATTCTACATATGTATAAAAAGGACAAGACATCAAGCTCGTGATTAAGAAAGACTTTCGTCAAAAAAAATCACTGCCTTCACCTTTTGTGGTTTTGGGTAAGAACGAAGTGCCCTTGGGGTTTTTCTTTTTGAGCCTTTCCAGCAAAGACACAAACTCCTCCTCAGAGCTGCCCGACTCATCCATTGCGGCCGGGGCTGAAAATGTGCGCTTGGGCGACGCCGCAGGTTTGCTGGGAGGAACACGGAAGACAAAAGGACTTGGAGGCAGCGGTGGTGACGGTGTACGGTTCTCCTCGTCTTTCTTGTCATCTTTAGCCTTGTTGGGCTTTGAGTGATGCGTCTTCCGGGAACTCCTAATGACAACATTGTCATCATCATCATCATCATCCTCACTGTCGCTGACAAAAACAGGAGAGTTCAGCTGAGACAGCGGTCTCCTGAACACATGATGGGCCGCGGGAGTATTGGTCTTTTGTGGAACTGGGAAACAAAAAACACTAATTGTAACAGACAGTAAATTATTTAAAAGGCAATTTGCATCGTGTGGATTGTTTATAGATGTTTGTCTGTTTTGATGTATATTGTGTTGGTTGTTCATAATTTTGATTTAAAAATATTTGTATTTTCAATGACTTTATTTTTTTATTTGGACCTCATAGGATGCCATAGAAAAGATGGGCTGGTTTTATAAAAGCTGGCAGTAATTAGTTCTAATAATGAATGGCTGGAAAGCAACTGACAGCAGGACTTGAAATGTTTGCCGTTAAAGAAACAAAGATCTTATGCTTTGCATTCCCCTGGTGAACGCAGTGAGGTACGTTTTGTTTATTTCACTTGTTTATGAGCCCATGTCCTTATTTTTAATGTTTGTGTACAGGTTTGTTTTCATTTTCACAGTGATCATGACGGTGATTGTGATGATCCTGGTGATTTGGTGATCATGGAGCACCAGAAGAAAATTAAAAAAGGCTTAAAATCAGCCGTAGAGGCTGCGCTGAACTTAGTCGAGTACTGGGAGGGCTGCTACACTAATTATTTTGAATGCATGCACAACTCCAGGGTGTATAGGTTTAGCAGGGTGCTGTGTTCAGAAGATTAATTAGTTAAAGTGATCCCCGATTAGTTGTAACATTAGACTTTATTTGATAAACATTTATTTTAACTGTAAAATAAAGACTGTAAAAATACTGTAGGCTGTTTAGTTTTGTAAATTTTTAAAATTTTAACATGGACGTAGCCATTTTA